AATGCTCAAAATAACATACTAATTGGTTGACTTGCACGATATCAACTTTAATAACCTGTTCTTGGCTCTCACGTAGTTTCAACGATCGTTAAGAAACAGATCATCCGTGATTTATTCCCCTCATACGTTGCCCGAGCTGAAGGCCGATATATGGCTTATTTTTCAGGGGATGTAAAAAAAAAAAAAACTCTGAAGGAAAATGCATCCACTGTTCAGATTTCTTTATTATTATTTTTTTCTAACATTCTATGCTGGTACTGGTGGTATCAACAAGGTTCTCGGCTTTTTAATTATGTTAGTTTTTCAAAGTCGTATGTAGAATTAGTTGTTCGTAGTGAATGCTAAAAACAGCCTAGCATTATGTCGGGCGGTTCAGAGTCAGAACTGCTTATCACTCAAGCAGTTTTAGCGGAGGTACCAGTTGAGGCCACCGCAATTGAGCTTTGGGAAACAATTTTGAATCTTTTTGAGGGAGTAGGAAACGAGGATGCCATTTGAAAATTTCAATTTCCGCACCGAGAATCTTAGCTTTTAACCGACCTCTTTACAGATAAAGAAGATTCCTTGGGAAAGATCACTACTGTAACTACTAAGGAAATTTAGGCCAGGAATGAAGCAAGAATACCACATAACACAAAGAGGTCAACTACATGGAGTACACATGGATATTGTACCGTGAAGTCACTTCACACCTATCAAGAGTGAGCGACGTACAAAGGAGAGGGACTTGCAAGGATTAGGCGGAGGATCGCAACAGAAAAGGCGATGAACGAGTAACAAAGAAAATCCGCGAATATGACGCTAAAGAAAACACTGCTCAGTTTAATTTCAGTAATTGTAGCGTCGTGTTTAATATTTCCAAGTTAACATTTGTAATTTTTTTCTTTATCAAAAGCTTAACTCTTTTTTTATATGATAATGTTGTTTCCGGCTTAGACAGATTATTGTTATTTTTCTGTCGTTTTTAGGCTAAAAATATTCTTGAATTATTCTTAATTATAAATCATAGCTAATGGGATTTCTGCCTTAAAGTGTATTGGGGTTTCAATTACCAATCGATCTCGCCGTTTAGTGAAAGGAATAATTTTTTACGGTTAAGCTACATGTAAAATCATAAATTGTGCTGTATTTACAGATTTTTAAACACAAAATTGACTCTTTTTCAAATTCTCAGCCTCAGCTTTATTCTTAAAATATTCTTTGACTTATAATTGTGCAAATTTCAGCCTCAAACTTTTCTCTTACACTCGTCTTATTCAAGTTCCCGGATGTATAGTCACACACTCAGTCTTGGCCCAGGTCAAAGTTCACCATCAATTTTGCTCTCACCTACAGTCGACTCCCGGTACAACTCTAACCTCCCGCTAACTCGACGCAAATTTCAATTCCCTTCAGATCATTTTCAATATAATTTTACCCTCGATAACTCGAACTCCCGATATAACTCGAACTTTATCGGGAGTCGACTGTAATTCATTTGACTCCTAAGGGCCTGTCTCGAGGCCAAAGACTTAGTGGTCACCTTAGAGAAGCGAACAATATCGTACCTTTCTGTCTCAGCCCGGATCAGGGTGATTCATCCGTTTAGCCAAATAAAACGAGAATATAATACGATATTGGACGATGCAGACTCTGAGAATCGTAATAACTTTGTCCCATCTCAGAGCTTTACATGATGCTCCCCGGGAAACCTTTCTCAAGGTGACCAATATCTAAAAGTAAACTGCTAAACGGCACCGAAACTAGCTTTAGGCGCGCACTGATTTCAAATAACTATCACTTGTATTAAAGAGAGAATTGTGGGTAGGGACAAAAAAGTAGGGAAGGAGGGAGGGAGGAAGGGGAAGGAAGGGGGGGGGGGGGAAAATAGGAAATCTGGTTAAATCACCATTTAAATAAAAACAAAACACCAAAAACAAAAAAAAAAAAAAGAAAAAGGGCAAAAAAACAATAAAAAAAACAATTAGAAGGGGAAGAGGAGGAAAAAACAAAAAAATTTTGTGAACCGTGTTTTTATAATTCNTGGGTAGAGATGTGAAGCCGAAGCCTTCAAACCTGACCCTGCTTAAGACAAAAATTGCTCATTTCGCTACCCTGTTTTATGACTCTGTTTCGTTTCGTTTTGCTTAGAGAATTAAGTATTTTCTGAAACTAATATCATATGTTGGTGCCCCAAATGAGGACCACTTATCTTCAGCCTTTACAGTTTTAAAGGCTTCCGGTCAATAACACACCCTGTTTAAGACTCAAGACCGTAAAAACTATACTCTGTTAAGCGGCACATATCCGTCTAGGCCAATATTCTCGTTAAAACTTGCTTTTAACGATGGTTACTAAGCATGCTGGAAATTTTGAAAAGACAGTTAAGCTGAGTCACCCGACTCTCAGTAGTCACAACTGGGCGGTAAGGCTGACTATGATGTGAAGAATTGTGTAGACCGAGAAAGACTCTGCGAGGTATGTGTCGTTCTTCCTATTATGCGAGTGCCGAATTCAGTAATTATCTTATTATATAGCCAGTGAAAACATTCGTTTCTCCTCGCTCTTCGCCGCTGGGGACGTTTCGCGAGGAGGAACGTCTGCGACTCAGCGACAGAAATTCCATACTGATGACGTAAAATCTGTCCGGAATCCGGTCAGAAGCGCTGATTGGTCGACGGAGTAGTTACATTGTTTTAGCTATTGTTTACTAATGACAGACAAAAGACAAAAGGCCACAAAGGTAAAATGTAAACGCGAAGAATCATCTAACAAACCAGTCAATATTTGTGGAATATAGTCTTCTCTAGAAGACGTATTTGAGTTTTGCTGGAGCTCGTTGGCAGATGAACACAACACTTTACCAAAACCGACCAGAAGACACATAAAACTGGACAAATTTATATTTGGAACCCCATGACTACGGGATTTATTATGTAAACATTGATTATAGAATTTCTGCCGCTGAGTCGCAGACGTTCCTCCACGCGAAACGTCCCCAGCGGCGAAGAGCGAGGAGAAACAGATGTTTTCGCAGGCTAGTTATCATAATTCTAGCCAGATTTTTGAAAACGTTATCGCCAAATGGACCTTTTGTGTCCAGCAGTTTTTTTCTCCAAAGTAGCTTTTATAAAAACTATGAGTGCAACCATTGCTTTTTTGTCTTCTTATCCTTTCTTCCTCCTCGCTCTTTCTTTTTCTCCTTTCCTTCTGGAGCTTATCCGGCCCAAAAAACCTGCCTTTTGACGCCTTTTCACCCAAATGACGGCTAATGTCGTTAGGTTGGTTTTCAAAAAATCATCATTCCGATACAGCTTCCTTCAATACGTATCGGGCCACTGAATCCGGCATATGAATCCGCACCTTTTTGAATCCGCTCCCCAGAGTGGAAATTTTTGAATTCGCTCTTAATCCGGAATCGTCTGGATGCTAAATCCGGATATAATATTTTTTTTATCCGGTGACGTAATAAGATCTAGGTCAGTTCTTTACAATGAATACTCTATTCAAGATAAAAACCTCTTCTCTTTTACCCGCGGAGGAGTCAACCGTGCTCTTCGCATTTTTCTGACTTCTGACGGGCTGAATCGGTCATATTTCGGGCGCTTTACGACGCATGCTTAGCTTTGTTGCCAATTTTCCCAGAGGGGTCCTGGGTACTTAAGTGAATCCTGATACGAGTCGGATACGTGCCGGAAAGGTGAAATTTATTCGATTTGAATACGGATACGTTTGAACGTGGAAATTTTTGAATCCGCAAAGAAATTTTTGCGGATTAAAAAATATCCAGATACGTACAATCCGTCAATGCTTGAGATTGAAAGTGTTGTGTATGTACGCAAGGAGGAATAATTCAAAAACAATTCTGACTTGACTCCGTTTGCACAGTTTATTACATCAAATGTAAGAATACAAAATCATATCGTAAACTGAGACAAAAGCTAAAAAATACGACTTAAAACTGTTAGTTAAGGCTAATGAAATCACTACATGTACTTTATCTTTACGCTAAATATTTGACAAATAGTACTAAAAAACAAAGTAAAGCTTTTAGAGCCTAATTCTGAGGAAAAACTTCTAGTTAAGTTCAAAAAGAAAAACAGGGGCAACAAAGACCGTTCTCTTTTCACATTCTTTAATCCTGACAAAACCATCGATTCGATCTGTTTGTCTGGAGAAAAGCCCTGAACCGACTACTGTGATTCATAATTGAAGAGCATGCTTTCAAGACCGAATCTTTGCATTAATTTGAACTATCCGGATACCAACAAAACCAAAACTCTATAAATTCAAAGATCTGTTTCAGACCCAAAGTGCTCATCAAGCCGTCATTAACTTGAAGTCCAAATTTTATTCGGCTATCCGTGGAGTAATCCGAAACAACATCTCTGCCAAAAGAGCTCAATCAAAAAACTATTGCAGCCTTGAGACTATGTTCAATCAGCCCTTGAATGAAACCAGTTTGTCCCTAATTTAAGACAGCCAATTAAGTCCTCAGAAAGACACAATATTTCAGTTACTGTCAAAGAGTGACCGAGTTTTGGGGCTTAAAAAGATCCTTTGAATTTACTAAACTGCAGCTGCAGTTAAAATGACGATAAAATTTTGACCCGGTAAATCACTAATTTAACACGACACCATTGAATGGATTTGGTATGCGTGACCAAATTTCCGTATAGGGTGAATTTGCATCGCGTGATTATGCACTATCACATGACTGAATAAAATAGAAAAAAACGAACCACAAAAAGAAAGCAAAAAATAAAAAGTAAATTTTAAAAAAAGGGGGGGGGGGGGGGGGATAAAAGAAAACATTAAAAATACAAAAAAGATAGGGTTTGAATCAAAATCGTGATGCTTCCGTGAACGACTAAGCTTTGGAAAACGAAAAAAAAACGTCTATCAAAACACATTTTATGTGTTGAAATAAAGAAATTACAAAGTCATAACGATTTAAATGTTTAGTTGCCGTGATAGTCCCATTTACAGTGCTGTAAGTAGCTGCACCTAACGGTATCTCATTAGGACACCAAAAAGACAGCAATGGCGGTCAGGATCGCAGAAAACATGACACGTGACTCTAACATACTTGCTGCACCTGTGGTGGTGGAGGTGGAGGTGGAGGTACTTCCAGTTTCTGGAACCAGAGTGTACCTGTTTGGCAGAACTCCTGTGCCGGTGTGCTTAGAAATATCGACATTTCCATCCATAGAGCTGTGCATGGCCCACGCAATCTTGACATCAGTACCAGGCTACAAAAAGAAATATGTAAAGAATTTCATTAATTTGCTATTTTAATGTTGTTTTCAACCCTCTGAAAGAGCAGCAAGTTCCTAAGACCCTGATGTGAGCCAAATTTTCCTACATTAACTTGGCGAAATGTTAACGAGGATCAAAGAGATGGCTACATATTTCGATGTTAGGGTCACCCTCCTAGTCGGGCCAACTTTGTTTCATATAATCAAGTTGGCTCGTCAAGCCGAGTCATTCCAGTCAAGGCGAGGCAATCGCCATCGGAACACGCACTTGCGCTGTTGTCAGCTCTTGGAAAGGTGACTCTCTGTCCAGGGAAGACTTTTCTCCATACAATCGAGGACTAAGTTAAACTCGGGTGCCTATTCTCACTTGGGGCCGTCACAAAACGCCCCTTTGCTGTGGGACCTGCGTGTTTAAATTCCCGCATCTGTGGATCCACAGGATATATATTGTATAAGGATACACGAGCTTAGTGTAAATATACCTATTTTGTCGCGGACACCAGACATTAGGTTGTCGCACCACCCTCCTCCCCGCCCGTAAAGACTGCTCATGTTTGTATCCGAACTTATAGCTGTGTTTAGGGATGTTAAGAATTTACCATAAACTGAACATCGTTAGCAGTGTCGCCTGTCTCTGGATCTCTCTCAAATACCACCGTCGTATATCCACCAGTCTCATTCGCCGATGTAAGAACAAAGTTTTGATTTTCATTCTTTGATGGTTTTGTCGTTGTGGTGCTCCAGTAATCCTGCGGGTAAAGAGACAAAAGTCACTTACCGTCTTAGCAAAGACCGTCACTTTTTAGGTTATTATAATCTTAAATTACAATTTCGTGCTCTGTGCGAAATCCCCAGAACTGATGGGTTCATTGAAGTACTTGAATGGCCTTTTACGCACGATTTTCGAGGTCATAACGTCTTTCCCCTCAGCGAACATTCGAACACTGTCTATGATCGACTCAGTGTCCGTATTTTCATTTATTTTCGCCATTTTCATTATCTCGTTCACTTTCCTAATCCAATCAGATTTTTCTTCTTCGGGGATCGTGTCTTAAAAACTGGGTTTTTACGAATTGTTTTGTCAAAAAAAATTTTTTCAGGAACTTAAAAAGGTGTACTGATTTTTCTTAAAAAGATTCTGTACATCGCGTTTCTATGGCGGATCCAGAGGACTAACTTAGTTGTCGGTACAATTTCTGCCGCAGGCACAAAACGTGCGACATCTACATCATTGTTGGCGTATGAGTATGTTCACAGTTATTATCGTCGCTATGGTGATCTCATTGTCGTATAACACCGAGTAGTAATAGGCATTTTTTTAGTCCTTACTTTGTGAAAGCTATTCAATAGGCCATCTGGCGTCAGTGAGATGCTATAAAAAAAGGATAGTTTTTTATACTGAATGAAATCCATCCCACTTACACTAAGATAGTTGGTGCCAGAAGCGACCCCGCCTAAGGCAATGTCGTAATTTCTCATGCCGCGACCATCCCCTGTTGTAAAGGCGACTGCACACCAACCAGTGGTTTTGCATGTCATTGTGAACATCAACTTGTTGTTGCTGTACATCCAAGTCAGCATGAAATTATCACCGTCACTGACTGACCCGCCTTGACAAAGAAATAAGGATTAAAAAACATAATAGAAACAGTTTTTTTTACCAAAATGCTCAAAATAACTAATTGGTTGACTTGCGCGATATCAACTTTAATAACCTGTTCTTGGCTCTCACGTAGTTTCAACGATCGTTAAGAAACAGATCATCCGTGATTTATTCCCCTCATACGTTGCCCGAGCTGAAGGCCGATATATGGCTTATTTTTCAGGGGATGTAAAAAAAAAAAAAAATTACTTTGAAGGAAAATGCATCCACTGTTCAGATTTCTTTATTATTATTATTTTTAACATTCTGTGCTGGCACTGGTGGTATCAACAAGGTTCTCAGCTTTTTAATTATGTTAGTTTTTCAAAGTCGTATGTTGAATTAGTTGTTCGTAGTGAATGCTAAAAACAGCCTAGCATTATGTCGGGCGATTCAGATTCCTTGTGCAGCTTATCAGGCCCAAAAAACCTGCCTTTTGACGCCTTTTCACCCAAATGAAGGCAAATGTCGTTAGGTTGGTTTTCAAAAAATCGGCTAGAATTATATTCATTGAAAATACTTCGAAAGCGCTAAAATATACAAAATTAATTTCAGTATCAGTATGCCCACGTCACAACGTCAATGATGAAAAGTTATCGAAAGAATGATGTTTATCTTCTACGTTTGGTCATTCATAGCTTTTCCTTACAAATTAATCGCGGGAAGTAATTAACTTAATTAGAATCTGAGACTATTCTGGCACCCGTCACTACCTGGTTGAGGAGTAGAAACAACAGATGTGGATGACATAGTAGTGGTGGTAGGTGTCATCGCTGCAGTCATGGCCTCAGTGATAAGGTTATACTCTCTTCCTGACCACCCCCTGCTAGTGTGCCTTACTGTAAGCCCTGAATTGGAATCCGAACTTGAATGCATAGCCCAGACGATAAAGACTGTAGTATTCATCTGTAAATCCAAAGGTAGACAAAGGAAGTATGTAAAAAGCCGGCAATAATTGTGAGTGAAAACTACTAACGGACAAGTTCTCGAAGTAAACTATTGAAAGGCATGGAACTGATGAATAACTTGAATCCTGGGTTAAAGTGCTTTGTCCCCATGTACCCGTAAAACTTGTGGTACAGTCCTCAAGCAGCAAAACGTCAACCTATTTCACATTTTAGACCTGAGGGATGAAGACGCCTAGTCTCGAAACCATGTAGATAAATCTGAATTTTCAGTTAAATAAAAAAGCCGGCCGTCTTAAATAACCTCAGAGCCAGAACCTTAGCAGCGCCATACTAAATAATTATTAACTATTCGCCTTCCCCCATCATGCAACGATGATCATCTTTTCGTGCCAGAGGGCGCAAAAAGCCTATATCAAGGTGATAGAGGGAATTTGCTTGTAAGAGTATGATTCCAGATTTCTGTGGGAATAAGTCACCCTCGGAGGAGGTTCGTCTGCACACACATGTACAACTGACCTAGCATGACAAAAGGGAGGCTTTCTATCCCCGAGCATCACCGAACAGTCTGCACTTTCTGTTTTATAGCATGGTATTAGTAATTATTTACTTGTAACCATGAGTCTCAAATTTCTTATAATAACTTAGTGTCTTGCAAAGCCCGTGAAACCGAGTCTCAGAAAACGGTTTTTCACTATTTTCCCCGTAGACCCCTGCACCTTCGGTGCTTATTAGCGTTCGCCCACACACGTTCCTTGAATATTTGTTGTACAACCTTACCGTAAACTGAACATCTTTGTTTGGTTCTCCTGTCGTCAAATTTCTTTCAAATTTAACGCTGGTATATCCACCCATCTCCGTGGCTTCGACTAGCTCAAAGTTGTTAACAGCATCACTTGGTGGTGGTGACGTGCCGGTGCTCCAGTAATCCTGGATGTCACATATAGAGTCGGTTAGACATACAGTCAGTTTTGGTTATTTTGGTCCAAAAAGTTGGACGTATAATGTTTAGGCCGTGTTTATAACAGATATAAAGACACAATTATACATTAATTTATTTTCAATTGTTTTTTCTTTATTAATTATTAATATGAGTTTCTAAAGTTCTCGTAAGCGACCACCTTCTATTGCTTTACCATGCGGTGCTTACGAGAGCTTAAGTTCTCGTAAGCGATCAGCTCTAGTTACGACCACTTTTTCGAATCTCTAAGGTGGTTAGCCTCCCACGCAGACGTTCTTAGGGGTTGGTCACGCGTTCCTGCCCGACGAACGTCTGCTGAACCGAAAGATAAATTCCTTTCCCATTGTTCGCAAATATCAGCTGGAGATCACATGCAGATTATCGGAGATCCAATCGGCGCTGTTGAAGTCAAAGTGTTGACAAGCCAAACACATACGTACAAGCTCAGTAGAGTCTGATACGTGACCAAAGATTTTTGCTCCGGAAGGCTATAAGGTGGTTGCTCTCAAGAGCTTCGACTGTAATTTAAACAAGACGCTATGGAGCGTATACTTCGGCCTCGTGGATGTGGAACTGATTAATTGTAAACGCGGAGGAATAGTAAGAAATGAAATATGGTAAGAGTAAGGTGTTAATTATGGGATTTGTCTGGATATTCTGAAAAGAGCAACATCCAAGAGGCCCACTTGCCAAAAACTAGCATTTCGGGGCGACTTATCTCTGAGATATTAGCCCAGTTATGCTCTGATGACTCCATACAAATCCTTCTAATTTTGACTTGGCTCTAAACGTTCAGACCTAAGTCAAATATGACGTTACTGGTGGTGAATAACAAGTCTGACAAAACAAACAGTGGAAAAGAATTCTCTATTTTTTTTTTCATCAGGCTTTAAAAACAGCATAGCAGTCTCATGTACTGATTAAAGATATGTAAGGCATGGGTAAGGAGACAATTACCTTGAGCGCGGAATTGGCTAAAACTTAATGTTACGAGTTCGAATGTTTTGACGATAATTATTCATTGACTTTCTGCAAGAAGGGATGTCGGATTAACCTAAGGAAGTTTAATACCAAAGGAACATGGTCTTTACAGAGCTTTTAAACACAGCATCCGCCAACACAAACTTGACTTGAACTTATTATAAGTAAAACCAAACAGCCTCTGCCAATAATAACAAACTCTCACTTGAACTTCAGATATCTTACGGCTTCCGCCAACTTGCACAGAACTTGAAAATCGACCTTCGTCGCACTTGACTAAACACAGCACTCCAACTCGCCGGAAAAACCTTAGTTCTTCAAAAGAACTCGCTTGCTGAGTTGTATACCGTTTGACATAAGGTTCTAGAAAATACTAAACAGGCGAAAAGTAGTAGCTTTTCGACATATTTTATGATTTCAGTAACTGATGCAAATCTGCTGACTCATGCTGAAATGTGAACATGTCCTAATTAATTATTTCAGTATGAATAATCCAAAAACGTAGAGAACGTTCGAGAAAGTCATGCAACGCTTGAAAGCATTTTTTCTTCGTAACACTCAACAAAGACAAAACGTCTTTGTGCAGCATTTTGTAACTTTAAATTCATCATAAAACAGTTCGAAAGGGGCGCACACTCGTGAAATGTTTTTCAACACTCGAAGAGAAATTTCATATTTCTGCGCTGCCATGTAATATCCTCTATTTATTCCTCGAGTAAATTAAAGACTAAACTCGAAGTGATCTCAAGATATCATGAAGTAGTCCGGTCTCATTTCGTGAAACAGCCGAAACAAGCCGAAAAGTCACGAACTTGCGCGCCCAATCTTGTCCAGAAACTAGTGCAAAATTTCATTGCTATTTTTTCTCCCGAACTACCTTGGGTCGCAGTGGCGCAATCGGCTAATCCCCCAACTTAGAGACTCCTCTGATCTGACCGGTCACGCAGGTGAGTCGGTTCAAATCCTGGGAAAGCCAAAATAATAACTCTTTCTTCCTTAATTTCACAAATGATTTCTAATCTGTTAACCCGGACTGCTCTGCTGCGTCACCCTTTCCTCCTTTGGTTTCAAGGTCTCTATAATTATGACTATGCACGGAAAAGTATCCATTGACACGTGAATCTTTTGGAAGATTTCAAGGTTAGCGATCTTGCTAAGGACTGAAGGATTTTTAAATTCGTAGAAGATCTCCAGAATAGATAAACTCCGGTAAACGGATAAATGACGTTCTCTTATGCAAAGCCATAAGCAAGGCAATTTCTATGTAGTAACAAGTTCAGTAAACAGACTAGTGTGGGCAGTGATGCCTCTCCTTCGTCGTTTCAGTACAAAAGTATGTTAGTTTTAAACTACTATCATGAACTTAAGTTGTTTAGAACTGAACAAACTGAACTGAACTGAAATGAATTGGCACTACACACGCAGAACGCTCATCGCCAACCTTCACACTCTTTGCCTCCAGTCCAAAACGACACCCTGGTCAAGCTGCTAAATAAGGAAATTGGATACCCTGATTAAGGCTCTAGACCCCTTGAAAACCATACCCTGTTCAGCCAGGGCATGGAATGCCCGCCTACTAGGGATCATTCCGACCTCCCTCCCCAGGAAGGACTGTATGAAGAATCATTTTATTTCCTAGATCACATGTATAAAAAAGCCAGAACGTCATATTTGGAGTTCTTTCTTAATGGTCCAGAAATAATACTTCTAAAGACGGTGACCTACGAAGAACGGTCACTTGTCGAGTCGGTCGTTTTGTCGTTGGAATTCAGAGGTTCTGATCAGTTGAAGACTTAACGCATTTTCATGTCGCGTGACTCCCAAAGAGTTGTTTTGATCTGCTCTTACTAGAGCAATATCAAGAACAATAATTATGTTAAAGTGCGTCAAACCATCGGGCCTTAAATTTTAAAGATATTTGTCATTATCGGAGATTTGTGAACACAAATAAAGGACTGACATGTTTTTTTATTGATGAAAGTACTGGGAAATTTGTGCTAGTTTTTAAATTTACGCCCATTGATTTTTGGTTAATCTATTTCAATTTTTTCAAACTTTTAAACTTTTGTTTAAAATTTCCTTTAACACTCTCAAATTTAAAATTTTCTCAGTTTATATACAATATTTTTTACTATGTTTTTTTTTGTTGTTTGAAAAAGGCTTACAAGCTATTGTCGCATCGGAAACAAGCGTACCAAACTAAAACCAGAAAAGAATGAAACTTTAAACTACAAAACTGTATATACAAATTGGTGATTATACTGAATACACTTCGTGTCTACAGAAACTGTCTTGAGTAAAGCAAAAAATTCATTCTTTCTTTTAACAGCCGTTTACTCCTGGCTACTCGTACATGATACTCATAAAGAACTTTCACGCAAATTTCTCTGGGGAAATTGACTTGCGCGCATTTCATATCATGCCGCACGCCATTGTTATGTATAGTGAGCGCGCCCAGGTGCAGAAAAATTTTTTTCAGCGCGCTCTCTCAAATGAGTTGTGATCCCCTTTTTCCTTTCATAGATATTATTTCCGTTACTAACTTTTACAGCAAGAATAACAACACAGATCCTAAAGATTCTTTCCTCGTCCGCGCCATTAAGCAATATTATAAGGCGTTGTCGAGGCTTCACACTATTTTATCACCTTTGTCCACAGGAATACCGGAAAGGTCTAATTTTTTTTATAATTCTGATAATTCAGGTGCGTGTAAGTTAAAAAAATCCTTTTGTAGCGCTAAATCAAGTTAAAAAAGGTTTTGGCAGAAATAATGGACTAAGCGGCTTGAGCCCTTATATTTCGCTTGAAGCCCTGAGACAGATACAGTAAAAACCCGCAACTAAGAACCTAAAAATTAAGAACCTGTTAGCCTAAAATTGGTCATTTATACCCCCTATAAACAAGAACTTATTTAGCCTAAGAAATTTAAAACAGGTTCTTACTTTCTAAAATCATACTAGTACATTACATGCACAGCTGCATTGCAAGAATAATATTTGAAGAAAAAAAGCAGATTGCCATTGTTGTAAAAATGTTTTTCAAAGAAAAATGAGTGCAAGATATGTAGACTTACAAAGCATACTAAGCAATATGTAGATCAGCACACCATTATGCATTGTATTTTCTCCAGTATTAAGAACCCATTTTAAGAACCTAAATAGCCTAAAATTCTGTTAACTACCATTTATGTAAGAACCTGTTTAGGCTAACTCCTAAAAATGTAGGTTCTTCGTTGCGGGTTTTTACTGTATCGCTTTGCCCATGCAAAGAACAGAATCGCTAGGTTCTTCAACTATACCCTTAAAATCCGAAACAAGCACCATGGTGTCCCGACTGATTTGTGTTTCTAACATGAGCTATACTGAAGCAATAGCTGAGAAGATTTAAGACGCGAAAGTCCTGAAGTCTGAAAGTCCAAAATGTCTGCAGGAATAATTTATAGGGCGGACGTGCAGACGTTTCATGTTGCGCTACCCCTAAGTCAGTCAATCTTGGTTTTGTTGGATACTATGCTTTTCCTACTGAGCAGTTTTAATTCAAATTAAAATCACTCTATGCCGTCATTTACTGTAAAAAGATAGTGGGTAACTTGGCCATAACCTGGAAATTTTATAACAAGTACATTTTTTTTGCCACGACAGCCAAGATGCAACACTGTCTTTCTAGGTATGTAATTGCTCCTTTCTACTCCGTGTTTCAGAAATGTAATTATTCTGAAGGCGAACTAGCACAGCTTAGCCTAAGCCTTTCACTATGCACGTCACTGTCAAACGAATCTCACCCAAGCAATCTTTCATTAGCAACCAGGATTTACTTCACTACAGCCAAAAGTACAGTCAAGACAAACTTACCCCAAGATAAGGCGTGTTACTAGCGACTCCGCCGGCAGCGATATCGTAGTCTATCATACCTCGACCGTCAGCAGTTTCTGTAAACCCTACTGCACAATAGCCGGTTACTTTACAAGTCATGTTGAAGACCAGCTTGTTGTTCATATAGGTCCAATGTAACATGAAATTGCCGTCAGGAGAATTAAACATAGCGTAATTCAGTGCATGAACTACATGGAAAGAACAAGGAAACAAGATAAGCACAAAAAATGCGTAGTTCTTAAGGAACGCCATCGAAACAACCCTCGCTTCGGATGAAATTCCCTGAACGAAAATAGCAGATAAAGCGGCGCCGAATGGTAATGAAACCCAAACTGACTGAAACACTGGCTTATTTATTTAAGTACCCTCAAATTAATTACATGCAAAACTTTTGTCTAAAACGTATTTGCATTACAAAAGGTCAGAAAGGGGTAAATATTGTTTAGTTTTTTGCCTAGTCACGACTCGTCAAGGTTTCGTTGTTTTGAAAACATTTTTCTCGCGATGATGATTAAAAAATATTATGGAACCAATAGCTTGTAGCTAATTTATTTGTTCATCTTAAGTAAGTTTGCAGCCTGTGCTTAGTTTTAGCAAAAAAACCTGCTAGGTTAACAAGTTCTCAAAAACCCACAATTAATATTTTTAAAGTTTGTCCATTCATGCGTTCTATTGCATTTGCTGTGTTATACCTTTTTATAAAGTTTTGAGCGACTATTTTTATGTTTCACTCAATTTGGTTGCAGTTCCTAATGTTAAAATTTTGATAACATTCGTGACACAGCTCCTTGAACTTGTACTCTCACTTTTGCTAAATTTAGAGGCAGTAAATATTATCAGCTTATGAAACGTAAGTATTGTGTGAAAGCTTTGGTGTTAATAGTAATAGGTCACTTTCCGTTTACAGTTAGCTTCAAATCACTCAAGGGAACCATAAAAACACTAGCAGTAAAGATGAAATCCTCACATCTTTAAAGGACAGACATTAAACAGGAATATTACAGCGCAAGTTTTACAGTGCAAGTTTGCAGTAAGAAAGTTAAGGTCATTTCTATATTGGCCTTTTAAAAGTGATATGCAGAAATTGTCACGTCCTTATTGGTCGGTATCTTTTGTTTATTATAAACAATTGATTTCTTGAATGGAAAAATATTGCAGCTGCCGTAAATGCGTCAGCAATATCGGTGAGGAGATTGCGTTCGGCCTTTACAGTTTTATAAGTGGATGATATCAGTTTTAGATATTTTCCATCTTGCATACACAGAAAACCTTTTCTTGTTTGTATATGGACCTTATATTTACTGTATTATCCAAGCTTACGGGGTTAGATACTGAAGCACTGGAAGCAGAAACAAATTTTCAGCACTGCCTCAGAGAAAACATGCTTATTCTTGTTAACGATATTGTGGCTTTCGGCGATGTATTTAATGTCTCCCATGTAGGGTAATTTAATACGCCTTTTAGTAGAGAAATTAAAAAGGGCTGACGGGGACTCACGTGACCCCTAAGCCGGCTATTTTGAGCGATGAACCAGTGAAAACAAACTTTCGGAAAGTCTAGATTCCATTGCGCATAACCTTGTCTATCGAAAAGCGGGCAGAAAAGATATATAATCCTTTCGTGAGGACCGCATACGAGTTTTTTTTGCACACCACATGACGCCGGCGTTGTTAAGGACGCTAGATTTTAAGTGACAGGCAATAAACATCCTACTGCGAAAAGCAATTAGTTTCTTCACCGTTTGGTCCAATCATCAGTGGTCAGATAAAGCGTCACTTTTAAATGCGGTATCTGTCGACAGAGTAATTAGAGAACAGATAACAATTTAAAAAATGCCAGAGATTTGCGTTCTTAGCTCATAACCGCGCGTAGGCTACGACTCAAGCGTTGTCTTCCTGGTCTTTGCCGGTATTAAAATGTAGCGTAGTTCCATTTTGTATTTAATGTATTGAGGGTCGCTGAACGCAAATAGATATCGGACAAATGTTGTTCGATAAAAGCGTTGATTCAAAATATTTATTATGTAAAACCCGCAGTCCGTGAACACACAGCACACTACTCATCGTAAAGGAAAGATGGATGCCAAGGCAAATTGCAATCATTGATCTCCGAGGCTTTGTATGTGCGGATTCAACGGATTTTTTGGCGTGAACCTGCTAAACTGCAGTTTCCGCAGTGAATCTCGTGTCACGCACGCGCTGGTGCGTTGTGCTCGTATTGTTGTGGCATCTCTCTGATGCAATCAGTTTAAAAATTTAACCAAAACAATGGAAATTATAATAATTTACTTTTTCTTTATATGGAAGTAGTGTGACATATTATTTGACCTCTGATCGAAAAAAGCCATCATTGATTCTTGAAATGATCGTGAAGGACGGTGTGTTACGTGTAAGTGGTAATATTCATCGGCAGTCTGGTAGGCATTTTGATCTTCAAAACGTTATATATTCTAACCCGACTGCATTTGTTTGGTGGCTATTATGTATGATCTACTGTCAATGATGTAAAGCATGTGCAACGGGCTCCATAAAAAAATCCGTTATTAATAACGGGTTTGCAGAAGTACTATTTTAGTAACTCGGCTTAAATTCCTGAAGTTGTCATAGTTGAGGCAGAAAACACAGAGACCAAGCGATCATATGGATTCGGTCGAATAGGGAAATCGCCATCCCGACAAAACGTGTCCAAAGCCCGCCAAAAAATTACCAAATCTCGTCGCTGCCACCATTTAACTATTTATCCAGTCAAGAAAATGCTGTGTATTGCAGGATTTTATAAAATTAGGTATGGGAATGGAAATCATTGTTAAGGGAGTCTTTTCAGTTTTGATCAATAGCTGCTTGCAGAGAAAAAGGTGACTTTCACCTTTACCCTTTGTATTTGTAAGAACAAGGAATGGAACGCCGGAGAAAAGCCTGAAGAGGAATCACTAAGAAGCACCTCAAGGGTGACTATACTTTTTAAAAAACAGTGACTTTACTGTTAAGTGCGACGAGTTTTTTTTTAATGCAATGGTGTTCTAAACTCCCAAGTGCGCTATTCAAAGCAACAGAAACACTAGGTGGCGAGCCCGTGATACTGTAAGTTAGACACCACGGCATTATGAAATCACTTGCGCACCAAGTGGAAATTTAAACGTTAATATGTTTTAGCGTGAGCCGGTAAGCGAGCTTTACTGTAATACCATGGTGTTCTAAAATTTTAAGTACGAATTTTATCATGCAACAGATGCAGAAACACTAGGTGGCACGCCCTTAACTCTGTGAGTTAGACACCAAGGAATTATGAAATCACTTACGCATTATTTACTTGTGTGTGTATTTCTTGCTTACTTATTTACACTTGTTCGTTAATACTGATATAGCATTAATTTTAGTAGTAGTAGTAGTAGTAGTCCTATGCCTATTAAGTACCCATGTACTGTGTGTAAATTTAGCGTCCGTAATAGTCACAAAGCCATTTTATGTGACATATGTCAGAACTGGACACATTTGAAGTGCACTCCTTTTACATGTGAGGAATACATTGCTTTATCTAATACTAGCGAAGATTGGTTCTGCTCAGTTTGTCTTGCCACTCTATTTCCATTTAACCATTTTGAAGATGATACTGATTTCTTCTTTGCACTGTTTGACTTTAATTTTGAAGGAAATTTTGATCCTGAACTTCTTAAGCAAAAAGTGTTTAATCCCTTTTTTGATGACCCTGAGACATCTCATCTTCTAATGAACTCTAACCTTGATCCTAACCCCAATTTTTTTACCGCAAATTCAGAATTACTTTCAAACTGCATATATCTAACCTCTTCAGAATTTAACAAAAGTCCTCTTCCTCCTGATGCATTTTCTGCTTTCCATATTAATATCCGGAGCCTCCCTAAACACTTTGACGACCTGTCGGAATATCTTCTTTCACTTAATATGTTGTTCTCTGTTGTTGCCGTTTCTGAAACCTGGTTACATAAGTCTAATTCTGATCTCTTTAATATTCCTGGCTACCATTTTATCTCCAATTCAAGAGAACATAAATTAGGTGGTGGAGTCGGTCTTTACATTCAGTCTGGTATGAATTTTAAGCCTAGGATTGATCTTCAATCTTCTAACAATTCATTGTACGAATCAGTCTTTGTGGATTTCATGCGATCTCATGGTAAAAATATTATTGTTGGCTGCCTCTATAGACCTCCCGATGCCTCTCTTAATGACTTTAACAGGTCTGTTGAAGATATCTTGTCAGCCATCAGTTTTGAGAATAAGCTATCTTATATTATGGGTGATTTTAATATCAACATCCTCAACTCTCATTCTCATCAACCTACAAATGAGTTCATTAATCTTATGACATCTAATAGCCTCTATCCTTTGATCTCCAAACCAACTAGCATAACTTCCTCAACTGCAACTCTGATTGACAACATATTTACAAACAATCTTGAACTTAACATGAATAGTGGCATTCTTTACACTGACTTATCTGACTGACCTCCCAGTTTTTCAAGTTACCCACTTGAAAATGATTGTTGAGCCACCACGCCAAAAGAGATTTGTACGTCTTATTAACTCAACAACTATGTCAGCATTCAGGTCTAAACTGGAAGGTGTCGACTGGTCTTCAGTTTATTCCATCAATTCTGTAAATGAATCTTATGACACATCCTCTAGTCTTCTTACTTCGGCATACAGTATGTCATTTCCTCTTCAACCTGCATGTTCTAAACCTCACCGCTTTTCAAAACCCTGGTTCTCAAATGGTCTCTTTACTTCTTGTGAAAGGAAAAATTCTCTTTACAAACAGTTCCAGTTAAACCCAACTGCACTCAACAAGTTGAGACACAACAAACACCGTAATAAATACAATTTTCTCATCAAACTTGCCAGGAAAAAATTCTTCCATGACAAACTGCTCTAGTCAGTTCAGATTTAAGAAAGACATGGTCAGTCATAAAACAGATTATCTCCAAAAAGGAACCTGATCAACGTTTCAATAACATGAAAGATAGTTCTGGTTCATACTCAAATCCTACTCAGATAGCTACAAAGTTTAATAATTTCTTTGCTAATGTTGGTCCTTCTTTGGCAAATAAAATCTCTCCCACTCAAACTACGTATAGAGAGTTTCTGATTGGTCATTACGCAAAGTGTTTCTATCTTAACCCAACTTCTCCCACTGAGGTTGCTAATATAGTCCATTCTCTAAAACATAGTAAATGTGAGGGTTTTGATGGCCTCTGTATTTCCCCTATAAAAGATACTATTGATTTAATAGCTGCCCCTTTGACCCATATCTGTAATCTGTCATTTTCTCAAGGTGTTTTTCCAGATAAGCTCAAAACAGCCAAGATCCTTCCCATCTTCAAATGTGATGACTCTTCCTTGTTCTCTAACTACAGGCCTATTTCTATTCTTCCCTGTCTTTCCAAGGTCTTTGAAAAACTCTTTTACTTCAGATTGTCTGCATTTCTTGAAAAATTTGACATTCTTAGTCACCATCAATATGGCTTCAGACCACATCATTCTACAACCATGGCTATCCTCGAATTTGCAAACAATGTATATGAAGGCTTTGAAAGTAATCAATACAATATTGGAATTTTCTTAGACCTCAAGAAGGCATTTGATACTGTAAATCATCAGATACTTATTGACAAATTAAACTTTTATGGTATCCGTGGTATTCCTCTAGCTTGGCTCACCAGGCTATTTAGACAACCGATAACAGTATTTTATGGTCAATGGTCATGTTTCTTCTAATAATACTGTTGTGTGTGGGGCCCCTCAAGGTTCTGTTATTGGCCCCTTATTATTCCTCCTATACATTTAATGATCTTTTTCTTTCTTCAAATTATCTTTCATTTATTCTTTTTGCTGATGACACCAATATTTTTCTTTGTCATAAAGACTTAGCTACTTTAACTAGAATGGTTAATCAAGAGCTTTCTCATGTCTCCTCCTGGTTTAACGCAAACAAGCTTACTGTTCATCCTGATAAATCCAAATTCATCATCTTCCATCCACGACGTAAACAGATCAATCCTTCAGAATTAAACATCGTAATAAATAACACCCCTATAGCACGGGTACAGGAACATAAATTTCTTGGAATAATTATTCACGAAAACCTTTCATGGAAACCGCACAGCACTTCCATCTGCGATAAAGTCGCTAAGGTTATAGGAATTTTGTCTAAATCGAGACGATACTTACCTTCGGTCACTCTAAAAACCTTATATAATTCCCTCTTTCTACCTTATATCAACTATTGTAACCTCATCTGGGCATCTACATATGCCTCAGTCCTACCTTGAACCCCTCTATCTACTCCAAACGAAAGCCATTCGAATTATCACCTTTTCTCCTCCAAGAACTCGTTCTAAGTCTCTTTTCTCGAAGCTTAATATTCTTTCTCTCCATTCACTTTATAAATTTCATGTTTCTTGTTTTATATTCTCACACTTTAATCACCTTTTACCTGCTTCTCTTTCCTCCCTCTTCTACTTTAATCGTGATTTTCATGATTATCTAACTCGTTCTCGTTTCACATGCATAAAATGTCCCTCAGGTATCAATTTGCGATTAGTTCTCAAGCCCCGACTATTTGGAACGATATCCCCTTGACTGTTCGTGACAGCCTTACCACTAGTAACTTCAAAAAGAAACTAAAACTTCACTTTTTAAGCCTAAATTGAACTAGCGCAGGATTCTCATAGCTTATTGTTAGTTTATTTGTCACTAGTTATGGACTGTTATAGGACTGTTATAGGACTGCATGCATGTAAACTTATTTAATTTCAGTTTTGTATCTTGTTTTAGTTTTGTATTTTAGCCTACAGTCTTCATTTCTATATAAAATAATTTCTGTCATTCTGACCACAGGCCGTATAAGCCCCCGGCTTTGGCTTTACTGAGTTTGTACTTTATGAGCGATGGAATAATAAAGTTAAAGTTAAAAAGTTAATAACTGGAAAATTAAGGGGTATACAAGCTATAAAAGCTATGTGTGTCTTAGAGTGTTTTTTAATAGGTGATTTTCTTGTAGGAGACCCTCCGCCAGTTATATTTTTCGGCATTTATTAGTAAAAGATTTGTTTTCTCGTTACAAATAAAACACGCGTAGCAAAATTCCCATTTCCGACACTTTTAGTACGTCCTGGAAACTGGGAAGCACAGTATGTAACCGGTTACTCGGAAGAAGGCTTTTCCTTTTTTTTTTTTTTTGATTTATTTGAACAATACTGTTGCGATCCGTTCACGGAGAATCTCTGCTAATGGGGTTCAATCAATCAATCAATCAATCAATCAATCAATCAATCAATCAATCATTTACTTTGACACGTTACGTCGAGGAGCTAGAAAACTCGCTCAAAATACGAAGTTGTATAAATAAGATCTATAATAATTACACAGCTATGTTATAATATTATTCAGTTTTAAAAACAACTCAATAAATATATAAAAAACTTAAAACGTGACTGGAAAACGGTAGCTACAAAGAAACGTTTCGGCGCGGCACACACAAAGTAAATAAATTTAAGTAAAGACAATAGCATATTCTGATAATGTTAGTTGCTCCTGTCGGAATAAAATGTCCTATGAATTAGCGAGATGGACACACGATGACGTGCGAGTAATACGTTCCAGGAATTTCTTATGGTTCCCGATCTACGGTCCTGCACTATGTTGTCAACACTTCCTTTGTTTTATATTGCGCAATCGGTCAATTCAGATGATCGTCGCGCACGTTTCAAAGGCTTGCTGGTCACCATTCTTTCTAAAATTCCAGAACAAGGATCTCGGCGCTGCTTCCCAGACGTTACTAACGGAGGTTAAATTACGTCTGCGACGTAATCTACCGCTGAAAAGAGCGCCTTAAAATGACAGTCGAACATGTGGTCACGGCCACCTCTCCACAATTATAAAGGTACTTGAATGTTTTTATCCGGGCGCGGAACATTCCTCGTGTTCACTGTTGTTTGAACCTTGGGTTGGGATCTTCATATTGATGGCTTACTTTCTGGAACTGCTAGTTGACTGTTACAGTATGCACGTATTATGAGTGTAATTAAGATAAGCTAAGTAATCTTCGAATTCTCGATGACATCATTACTTCTGTATGGAGTCGCCCCGTGTAAGGATTCTGGATTCCACACTGTTGACTCCGAATTGCAGGAACTGCCGAGTTCCAGTCTTTGTCAGTGGAACTTGGATTCCAATCTTTAGTGGGATTCCGGATTCCTTGATCTGTATTCCGGATTCCAAAGCCCATGATTCCTGATTCTACAAGGAAATATTTCCCGGGTTCCGGATCCCTTATATGGGCGATAGAAGTGCCAGGGCTCTGACTTTCAAGGTAAATATTTAAATCCGATTTACACTTTTAATAGGCGTGCCTATCGTTTTGGCTATACAGTCAAACCTCTCTAATACAAACAACAAAAGGGACAGAACCAAGTGTCCGCTTTACAGAGTGTTCGTATTATAGACGTAGGGAATGTATGATTTTTGGCATTTCTAGGACCAAACATTTTGTCCGTATTATAGAGGTGTCCGTAAGGAGAGGTTAGACTGTATACAGATAAGATCGTTTTAATATCAGATGTAATAAAGAATACCAACCGGGATCCTTTCAACAGAATCACTAATAAGTATGTGTAATCAAATGGTAAACTTGTGAAATTTTGGGAGTAATTTCACTTAAGTTTTGTCCAAATTCTAGAAAAGGCTCGGGAAATTATTAGAATCTGGACAAAACACACTTGAAATTATTCCCTAATTTCACGAGTTTCCCATTTGGTCCTGAGTGATATATCTTTTCAATTTTTATTTATTTATTTTTTAAAATTATATCTGTGAATAACGTTTATTTTCATTTTTCAATTCAAGTGTAATTGTTTTATTTAGGTGACGAAGTATTGAAAACATATTAGTCAAGCCTTTATTCAAGCTCTTGTCGTAGGAGAAATGTTAACATGAATATGGAGGCACGTTCACATATTAAGGGCCTGTTTACATGGAGTGGGGGACCCCGGTCTAGTGGGGTAAGTTTCTTTTGTTTTCACGCTCTGGGGGACACAAAACAAAAGAAACTTACCCCACTAGACCGGGGTCCCCCACTCCATGTAAACAGGGTCTAAGTGGATCGAGTGACTACATGTAAATACCTAACAATGACTTTTATTTCAATGAAAAGAAACGGGGCGAAGACTGAATTAGAAGAAGACTGTGGTGTACAACATTGCCCTCGCTAAACAATTAGTAAAGTAAATTGTCAAAATAATAAAACAAAACGAAGGGATGATTAGCTAAGAGATCGAATCCCCCATACATGACCCTCTTCTCATGAAACGTATTCGAAATCTGTTTTGTGTCATATTGTGTGGCTATTTTAACGTCGCTACCTTATTGGTTGGTTAGAGTGGCGTCATGTAATTTTAAACTTAGCGGGTAATTCATTTCATGTCACGTTCACTTAGGGACGGACCATTAGAAAACTTATGGGGCGGGCGGGCGAAGTACAAAAAAAATATTCGCGCAAGGGAAATTACATGAAAAAAAAATTCATGCACGCCAATTAATCCTAAAAAATATTCATGCTATGGCCTAAAAAATCTTCATACAAGGAATTTGATAACGAAAAAAAATTCCTGCGGCTCGAAAATTCCCCTCCCCCTCCCCATAACTTTTCTAATGGTCCGTCTCTTAAGTAGGCCACGCGCGGGTCATGGAAACAGCAGATCAAAATAACCGTCGCCGCACGCGAACGAAATCATGGGCACAGGAGGATTCGCTTTCTTAACTCATCCTCTTTTGGACAAAACAAAGTCCTGTCACATATACAGTGTACAGATGACCAAAGCTAAAAAGGCGTAAACCAGAGCACCGCTTGATCCTGCCTGGCTGGCTGTACTACCAGCTAACTTGATCAGATTGTACTTTCTGGACGACACTCTTTTGTAAGTGTGCTTCAAATCCAGGTTCAGTTTGTTGTCTGCATCTTCGTCTCGCCAAGCCCACACAATCCAAACTTCTGTATCATCCTATAAAAGTAACAACAGATAAAGGGACACGGTCACTGCTGAGGCACATGCGCATTAGATAGTACTACTTATCGAATTTGCATCTTACAAGATACGCGATTCATACTGTTCGGGATATTTAAAAGAACACTCAGGAACATGCTTGTTGAAGTCCTCCACAGAACATGAAATTATGCATTTTCGCTTCGTAGTCGTACAGTGATGGCAACGAAATGTACAAACGCGATGCACGTGCAAAGTTGTTGTTTTACCGATCAGCTGTTCTATGTGGTAGGCGTTGATTACTACCTTGCGGCTCTTGAATTGTGACTTAGGAGTTTTTTCTTCATAAAAAGATAAATGGTTTAATATGCTTCTGATCAGTTAAAAGAGCAAGCCAAATTTCAGTCGATATAGATCGTTTTCTTTTACTTTGTCAGCAGCTATAATGTAACTGATTTCTTTGATCGAGGGAAAGTTTAAACATGAAAAACGAGTTCAATCCCCAGAGAATTTTGTTTCGGTAAAAAATGGCCGTTTCATTGTTTTGTACACCAATGTGGACGACGTGGTGACATGTAAATAAACGATCCATGTCGGATTATTTTCGTTTTTTCTTTTGATTAATTTTTCTGTGTGCTATTTTACTGCCTATAGATAAATGTTACTGTAATCTGGTGTTACCGATATAGCTGATTGAGTAAAGGTTGCTTTGGGCATTGGGAATTGGAGGTGGGCATTTTATCATTTGGGCATACTGAACAATGCAAATATTTGCCTGAGTGACCACCAAACAATAGCTTCCTAGCTAGTGCCCAATTCCCAATGCCCAAAGCAACCTTTATTGAATCAGCTTGCTGTATACAGCTATTTCGAGAAAGGTTGTCGGAAAAAATGTGGACGCGACAATCCTGAAAGGTAATATGGGATATGATCGATAAACTGTTCCTGATGACTGTAGCTGTCGAACCTACTTTTGTTGCTTTCCTTTAGCACTCGCAAACATATTTCCATGGCCTTTCGTGCCAATTCTTTCAAATTTCTCCGAAGAACAGTGAACTCAAAACCACCCACAATCCCCTCCGGGATTGTCGCTTGCATTTTTTCCGACAACCTTTCTCGAAATAGCTGTATTCCTTACCCGATACTGAACATCGTGAGGATCGTCGTCTTCTTCTGTTGTTGTTTCTCTCTCAAACTGCAGATTGGTATAACCATTGCTTTCAGAAGCGCTGATAAGAACGTAATCTGGGGTTTGGTCTATGTATGGTACTCCCGGACGAAGACCATGATAACCCTGCCAGTTGCCACCAAACAAAAAAAAGACAATAAAATGATGAATAATAGTAAGAGTGATAATGATAATAATAGCAATAATAATAACAACAACAATAGTAATAATAATAATAATAATAATAATAATAATAATAATTTTATTCATTTTTAAAAATATGTACATAATTTACAGCAGAAATATTTGAACTAAGAATACAGCATTAGCAATTACGAATTATACAAATCATAAAAATACAATCACAGTGTCAATAACGATTAACAAATACATTCCTTGCGGCTCAGATGCGATCAATAAATCTTGCAAGTGGTCCAGAGTTTTAAATTAGGTCATTACAAAAAAGAACCTTCCGTCTCAGATATTAAAATATGATAATAATAATAATAATAATAATAATAATAATAATAATAATAATAACAACAGTGATGATAATAATCATATGAAGATGATGATGATGATGATGATGATGATGATATCTTTGAGGGCCCCACTGAAAACCGTCATGGCTAGTTAGCCTCCCTCTTTATCATTATTATTATCGTTAGTAAGGACAGGGATCTAGAGATAGAGAAGGGTCAAGCAGGACTTCCCTAGACTCAACAGCTATAGATTCTTTATTAATTGTCTTTATTTTATTTTATTTTATTTTTTTTAAACATTTGAAAAAAACTTTTGAATTTTAGAGGCTGACAGTTTTTTTTATTGAAATGAAATGCTTTTAATTCGAACAAATTTTTCTTAGTTAAATTAACTCTTTTAAAGCTAAATTAAGTGCTTTTTAAATCGACAGGAATTGTAAATGGTGTTTTGAATGAATAGTTTTTTTCTTTTTTTCAAGCGAATTAATTGTAAATTTAATTTAAAAAAAAGAAAAAATCATTATTATTATTATTATTATTATTATTATTATTATTATTATTATAAGTTCGAGAACTAAGATTGTCCTGGTGGGACAGTGACTGTGGTGTCGACAAATTGCGAGGAAATCTGATGATGAGTAGCGCATAGCTTCTTTATAATGACTTCCTCAGAAATTGTCGAGGCAAGCCTGTTCTAGAGGCTTCTCAGGACAAGTCAAGTGTTCCGATCAACGAGTCTTTGAATTTCACCGCGGCTTAAAAAAGCAGTAGGAAGAGTGCTGACGGACTATCTCCTATCTGAAAGGGTATTCTTACCCAAAGCTTTAAGGATACCAAAAATCATAGAAAATGGTTAAATCGTTCCTGCTAAAAAATGCGAACCAACATGCATATAAATTGGTTCGGGCTACCGAAGACAAAATGCCTCACGCAGACGAACGTGCAAAGATAACATTGAGCAAGAAAGCCATGAGCTCTCTTGCATTGAGAGGTCACCTTGTTTCCTTGGAAACACTGATCACCGAAGATAAGCCCTTACCTTTAACAACAGTATTTCAGCATGATAGTTTTAATTTGCATTTTTTTGTAAATGGGTTATTGAATTTTTCCTGAAATCGTATTTTGGCCACCTGAAATTTGGGAGCTGATTGGGTTGTTAGCAAGATATTTTGAATCCCACTGGGCGGGATAGAACTGCCTCAGTGCGTTATGATATCACATTTGTCTTGTAAGTATGTTTTGCAAACAGAAGATTTCGTCTTTTTCCGTCTTGAAAGGAATAGGAGAACTTCATCCTCGTAATCATCTTTAAGCTTTCTGTTTTTATTGTCTGTAATCGAAATTTTATGTGGTCTTAAAACTTGCCTGAATCCGTTCTCGTTAAAAGCTCAGATGCTATTTACGCATTACGGATAATAAAGTATGACATTCTGGTTGACTAATGCAGTTTAAACGCGCTTACCCAGAGGTATGTCTTGTTAGCAGTGATTCCACCAACAGCCATGTCGTAATCCTTCATATTTCTTCCATCAGCAATTGGGGTGAAACCCACTGCACACCAACCAGTTGTTTTGCAGCTCACGTTGAAAATCAACTTTTCGTCACCATCATACGCCCATTGCAGCGTAAAATTTTCATCACCAGAATCGAAGGTGTAGTAGTTCAACACATTGCTTGCACAAGCAGCAAAAGACAGCACAGCTAGTGCAAAGACAGCGGAGATTTGGCTGAGGAAATGCATTGTACTTCTGAAGGTTTCAGTGAATGCTGAGGTGGTTAATAAATGATACAATGGATCGAAATCATTTCAGCAATGCTTCTCAAAAAGCTGTAAATCAATTTATCCGATGCCCTTCGCGATTGGTCCCCGTTAAATCATAACTTTAACGCTTAACAAACCAACCGGATCTTTGTGGTGGCATCATAACTTCATAAACGTATAGCCTTTATCACATGTTTGAAATTTGGGGTAAGATTCCAAGGCTACGCCTGCCAAGGTTTGGTTATTTAAGTGAAAAGTTACTTACCTCCACGATTTTTTGTTTGTGTTGTGACTTCAAATTAACGAGAACTTTGGATGTAGATATTGCATGACTACAGAGCCTTACTCTTTGTCCAGTTCTTTTACAATGGTATCATAATTATTATACCATGACCAATTTGCAGATTGAAGCTTAACCGCATAGAAATAATTATTTTCAAACAATATAATGAACATGTTTGTCCATAAACCAAAACTCTGCTCGGCCGAACAAATAATTGGTGCAACTGATTTAAATGAAAAATAAGGTTGTTCGGGGTTGGGCGGGCAGGGGTGATTTTTGGGGGAACGGGACCGTTTCCCCTACCTTGCATTCCCGGCTCCCGCCCCTTTCTTCTTTGCTTTATTTATTTGCTTTATTTGATTGCAGAATATTAAGCATTGTTGAGTGATTTTCCCCTTTTTCTGCCGCTACCCACCCTTATAGAACTCCCACCTCCCGCCCTTTCCTCTCTCGCAACCCACCCCTTCGTTCGTCAATTAACCCGGGCTTCCAACTAACAGGAAGGAGAAACCGTGAGCGGACACCCTCAAGACGAGAAAAAAGGTGTCCGTACATTGGGCTAGCTGCTTACGAGAATGTGAAAATACAGAGTTTATATGGGAGTTGAGAAAAACAGGGTTTTGTGTAGTGTCCGTTAGGAGAGCTTCAACTGTAGTTGAACTGCCGATACTAACAAATCCAACCAGAGGTGCGCAGGGGTAATCAGGATTGCGAGTCAAGCGCTCTAATAGCTCGGCCTCGCTGCTCAGTACCTTTCAAACAAAACTTTGATAATTTTCAAGTTTTAATTCTAGGACAGTCGAAGGAGACTTATTTTAAAAAGTCTATTTTATTCACATAGAAATAGAAATAAGACTTGAGATTAAAACCAAGACTATAAACAAAGTGTTAGCCCTGTAAACGTACTTGGTCTTTTTCCCAGCAAAAATCTTTCTTCTCTTATTGTTTGAGATTTTTTTAAGAATTATAGTTGCCTGAATATTATCACTAAAGACTAGGAAATTAAATTTTCTGTGCAGCCAGATTGATTATCCCAGTCATCGGTCGGTTCATTGGCTCATACACTGTTAACTGAAAAGATCTGTTTTAAGCGCTGAATTTGCTTTGGGCTGTCTCGAAAAAAAGATAAACCATTAGCGTCTAATTTGGCTATTTCGTCCACCTTTAAGGGCTAATTTGGACATGCAAGCTTCCCAAAGTGGACTGGAATATGTTTGATAGGCTGTTTTCGTTCCCATTGAGCTCAAATGAATCCACGGCCGTCTGTTAGGGGAAGGGGGGGATAGAAGAGACGACTGACATTTCAGACTAAGCTTAAATTGGTGCTCTCCTGCGTAGTCAATCAATAGACAGCATAAAGACGGAAAAGTTGTGAACTCGTTAATTAACCGATTTCCGATAGTATATCAGTCTGAAAAAACTTTTCAGTCATTAAGGATCGAGTTCAACTGTTGCCTCGGTATTACTGACAGAGCAGGAGCTCCTGACAGAGTTATTCTTGGTACGCCAGTACCCCCAAAATGCCGAAGTTTAGTAATAAAAAACAAATAAACGAACAAACAAAGGGGTAATTTCCTTTTTTGCTTTTTCCCGATTTTGTCGCCCGCGAAATACGGTGACTGAAGCTCATCGTCGGTTTGTCAGTCAAGCTCTTGGAAAACGATGTGAAAGGCCTAAATTAGAACGGAACAAAGCGTAACGATCTGGGCAAGAATAACAAATGTGGCAACTCTTCTCCGCATGCCACTGGCTGTGTTTTTTACGGTGGTCGACTCTGCCTCCATGATCAAGTTATACCTTTTTGTCGACACTCCTGTGTGGCTGTGTTTTAAGTTTGCGTTCAGACCTAAGTGTGCGTCGTTGCTATGCCAAGCCCTTACTATCCAAACTTGACTGTTACTCTGCAAATCAAAAGGAGAACAGATATTCAGAAAACTGTCCATTCCTTATATTATGTGCGACTTTATTTTAATGAGCAGAATACATGCGCTTCATACCGTAAACTGAACATCTTTGCTGTCCCCTTCCGTAGTATCAATCCTTTCGAACTGTATATTAGTATATCCATTCTCTTCTGAGGCTTTTATGAGCTTGTAATCTGGAGTGGGATCCTTTGTTGGTATTCCTGGACCAATGCTTTGGTATCCCTGCCGGCAGAAATTAAAATAGAAGAGAATATTTCGTGTTTAAATGATATTTCTACTTGATGGCAGTTCGCTTATTTCTCTGTTGGAGTTTAGATTCAGTTTTAGCGGCATGAAATTTTCACTATGTGCGCTATTAAAGCGTTATTTCAGAAACTATTTTAAGGATCTCTTTTGAATCAGCATTAGTGGCTGAAACAGATTCCAAAACTAAAAGTCCTCTTTAGTTTTTCAGTTGACGGAGAAATAACTGCATCAAGAAATGTTTAATCGTTGGCGAACAACATAACAATCTTCCCATTAATTAATATATTGTGATCATACATACAGTCTTAACGCGCAAGATAAGTTAGGAACGCGCTACAGGCCGGATGACGTTTTTGATTAAAGAGAAATGGTGGATAACGACAGGAAAAGGCAGCTTCGTTCCCACAGCTGTTCCCAGGCCCCAGGGTTCGAGGTTGATGAAAAGGCTCATTCACTAACTTGTCAATCTTACTTGTAGGCCTTAAGAAAGGATATGAAGGTGAAGTAAAGTAGCTCCTAAAAGCATCTGGTCCTTTAATTGGAACCGATTGATTCCCTCACGTACCAAAGTAAGGCTGAATATTTTTAATAGTCTATAACCGTTAGTAAGGAATCGGCAGTCAGACAATGAGAGCTCTATTGTATATAACTATGACTTCGCCAAACGAGCCAAATTTAGCTTCTGAGTCATAATTAAATGATTTTTAAACTCGTTATCACGTCAGATCGTTTTCCTATCCTTGCAAGCGCATGTTTAGAGTATTTTTATCTTTATAATAAACTAAAGAACTGGTTGAGAGACTTACATCAAGGTATGGCGTGTTGGAGGCGACATGTACACCACCAACAGCCATATCGTAATTTTCCATCCTTTTGCCGTCAGAACTTTCTGTAAAGCCCACTCCACACCAACCCGTAGTTTTACATGTCATGTTGAAGACCAACTTGCCTTTGTCATGCGCCCATTGCAGCTTGAACATTCCATTATCGGAATCAAAGCTGACATAGTTCAACGCATCGACTGCGAAAAAATTGTAAGGCAATAAAACTAGCACACAAAGACAAGAGAACTGGGAAGGGACCATCACGTTTTCCGGCTGTGGCTAAGCTGCTGTGTTGTGTGAGGAAAGGCTGCTTAACTATAAGAACCTTGTTTCATGAAGGTATTTACAATTAACTGAAAACCTTTTGGATTACGCGCATCATACGTAGGTTAAAACCTTTTTAAAAGAAATTGCGTAGTTACGACAAAGAAATACTGATATGAACACTTATATTATGATTTACTTGTACTTACAGCAGACCACTATACTGAGCCAGATAAATAGAGGCTTAGTACTGAGACTGAGAGTCAGCCACACAATATATATGTTTTTAAAACTATTATTGTTGTCGGCACTTTGTAGCATCACTGACTACGGATTACACTCTTGCGGCTTACTTGTGTTTAAGTATTGTGTTTCAGTTAAAGCTTTCAGTGCATGTCAGCTGGGAAAATGTATTACTGACTTCTGCCTCATGTATTTCATAAAAGAAGTAGCTTTTGATTCGTTCAATTAAAAATGTTTTCTCATTAAGTTAATGCCTTTCAATCTAAAAACATTTCAATTGACTCCGAAAACAGTTTGCTTGAAATCTAGATTATTCGCAGACATTAAGATTCTGATTCAAAAAATTTCATTTGTTTTGTTCAGTCATTACAGTTCATTAACTTTTAACCTGAATGATTAATTTTGAACTAAGGACATTTAGGCAAAGTTGGTCATTCAACTATTTGTGAGCTGTTAATTAACAGTAATGAAAAGACGCGAAAAGTGGATTCTTGGGTTAAAATTGAAGAAAGATCATTTGTCCCATTAGACACGTTTATGGGTCATAGAGTTCGAAATTTGGGCTCAACAAACAGTGCGATTATTTATATAAAAGTTTTTTTAAAAGCGGGATTTCTTTCGGTGCCGTAACTTTTACAAAAAGAAGTATTTGGCTGTAGATATTGCATAGCTACGCACAACCCGGTACGTTGGCCAGTTTTTTTCAGCAGTGGATAAAATATTGCAGTGGCTGACCAAATTTAAAATAAAAGCTTTTTTTACTCATATATTTCATAAAAAAATAGCTTTTGATTCGTTCAATTAAAAATGTTTTCTAAT